TGTTTTTAATTGTGTACCAGTTTAACGTTGAATATTATTTATGATTATAATTTGATTTTTAAAGATACTCTTCAAAAATTATGTTACAAATAAAAGTTGGTTAAACATTTAAAAACAATGATTATTACTTAATGTCTGGGATTTTTAAAGTAAAATTCTCAAAAGTGTTTCTTTTTTTTTATTACAAGTCAGTTGATGTGAAACTAATAATTTGATCGTTTTGATTTTACAAGTGCAATATTTTTTGCTTTTTATAACTCCTAATCCAGCGTGACCATGAATGAAATAAAACCATAAATTACCTTCTCGCAGTGGCACTTTAGGCCCGGTAACAAGAATATTTTGCCACTCGCACACATAAATGTACGAACTTTTGACAAGATTCGTAGGTAAGAGTTACATATGGCACCCCCCACTCAATTTAAAAAAAAAAATCATCAAAGTAATATTTATGTATTAATAAATCATATTAATAGTATGATCTGATAATTTTAATACATTATGATACCACTTACTTCATTAATTAGATGTACAATCTTCTTGGGGATAAACTTTACACATGTCTTGTATAAAGGCTACTTTTATCAGAATATAATGTTCTCCACATGTATTCACACAAATGCTTGTCAAATGTCTTTGCCCTGGTATATGTAGTTGGTAGTTGTCTAATTTTTCTAATACGCCCCTTTAAATAAACCCTTTTCAGAATCTTTTTTATCCAGGCAATTCTACAATTTTTGGGTGGGGGTGCCATATGGAACTCTCCCTGCGGTAAGTCTACGGACTTACAACGTTAAAATCCGGGGTTCGATTCCCCACGGTTGGCACAGCAGATAGTCCAATGTGGCTTTGGTCTAAAAAACAAACAAAAACACTGATATCCCCTGATTTTTGTCTTCTCACAACGGCAATGCTTACCGCGTTGCATAAACATTTTTAACAAATGCGGTTTCTTGATTAAACTTCATTAAAAGAAGATAGAAGGCTTTTTCTACACAAGTTTATTTGCTTACACTCTGAATACTAGATGATAGTGGCACATATGCAAAATTAAAGTGTTAACAAGGTAAGATAACATCTATAATAACAAAGCTATTGGTTCACATGCTTAAAGTTTTACCAGCCTTCTGTGTTAATATTATATGTTAATAATTTGAGTTAAATAAGGAACGCATATATTTTATTTACTTTCGATTAAAACAAAGTAAGTAAAATATTTAGAATCCCTGGATTGTAACCCATACACTGGACCTTTCATGGGTTTGGGAGGGAGGGTTCCTGGAGCAGCTTTCTTTTCAAGAACTTACAGATATTTTTATAGTTAAGAGCACAAATAAAATACTACCATAAAATGCCATTACTCACCTAGTTAAAAGTACAACTAAGATACTGACATAAAATTACATTACTCACCTAGTTAAAAAGTACAACTAAAATACTGACATAAAATGCCATTACTCACCTGGCATATTTTTCGTTTTGCTGTTCTTCCTTATGATTAATAATTGGTTACACCGTGAATGGGATAATTATGTATAGAATTTTAACTTTCTGTCATTAATAAGACTTTGCATATGATAAAGTAACATTACTATTATAAAACACACACGCACTCTTCAGTTCATTTTTAAGCACGTCAGACATCTATGTGTGTGTTCTAAAATTCATATAATTTATTTTATAACCTTGTTATAGGTATAATATTACAACTTTTGATTATCTCTTCATTAATTTGTGCAATGTGTATTTTGTAAATACCCGTCTCAATTTTGACAAATTAACATCCCAAATTACTGTAATCATCTGTCTAATGTAAGTATACTTTTATAATTGTTATGTAAAATAGTAACTTAGTTATTGGCTTAAGCTCTCTTAAATGGTTATCTCTTCTAGGTATTAATAGTATCTGTAATAAGAGTATTGGGAATTTTTAATTTTCGGTGGATATCATCTATATTTGTTGGTGTTACTTTTTAGTGCCTGGATCTCTCTTTCCAGTCTAGTTGAAGTACTTGGATCTGCATATTCATTGTTTTAACATATTTGCTCAGCATACCTTCTGTGTGTGGCATTTTCTGTCTAAAATGTAAAAGATGCAGGTTCCATTCTTTCAGCAATGTCACCTGGTACTAATTTCCTGACTTTAATATACTCATGCGTTATGACAGATTGTTGCTCACCATATGTTTGATATAATGTATCTTAAGCTAAGCTATGCTTATGTCTCATTTTTGGTAGAAGGAACCATATTTCTGTATGCTGTATCACCACAAATAATTTTTTCTAGGTCATAAAGTTTTTAAGCTTTATTTCGATTTTTTAACAAATCTTTCAACCAAACTATTTGCAGTCAGATATTGTGTATGTGATTTGTTTGAATGAGCCTCATACTAGGTGTGGTTCATTGTTATAAGTGCTCAGGCAAACCAAAACAAAATCATGCTTCACACACATACACGTCATTACAGTGCGTGTCATCGCACCTGGTTGTGCTCTATCTGACGATCATGCATCTTTACAATAGCTCTGCAAAGTATTTTTTGGTTCCAAAAGGCTCTGTTGTAAAGATATCATGTCAAAAACACACTACTCTTCTATGTAAAATTTACATAATGCATCTAATGTATGAGGATAACGGTTTTCCAGCGCCTATTTCAACAATCTTATTGCACGGAAATCCATAGCTGCTTCATCTAGCAACTTCTCTAGTATGTCATCATGGAAAAGCGTAACTTCCTATTTCATTCTCCAGCTATTTAAGATGTGCAACAGTTGAACAGGTATTTCGTGTAAGCAACTTCACGACACGTGACTTGTGTTTCTTTTCTAAATGGGGATCCATTTTGATTATGTTGTATAATGTTGCCTGGGACACATAGACGGCCTATGTCATTAACTTTTCTGTTCGTGGATTCTCACTTGTTACAAGATGGTGTACTTTGCTTACCATTGGTGGTTTACGACTTGTTGCTGGCCATTTTCTGAATGGCCCTGTTGTACCCAAATTGATCCATATTCCTTTGTTTTACAGTGCCATTAAACACAAGAGATATCCCCATCTTGGAAATTCTAAATCCTTAATCTGAACACATCTTTATGATCTGAATAGATATGTTACATCGAAAAGGGTCATCACATACCTTTCACCAAAGCAATCAATTTTCTGTAACGTCACGTTACTTAGGTAACGCCAAACAATCAAATGTAATTCTGATGCATGCTACACAACTCTCTGTACGATATATTTAAAAACAAGAAACATGAATGCTGTAAACCAAAATTTTTAAACTGCTCAAACTTGTGACTTACTGGGCTGAATGTTGTATAATGTACAATTAGTTGGCCTATTCAGCAAGAAAAAGTATGGCATAAAACCTCGTATAATATCGACAAACTGAATTTTATTGATCCTATATATATATATATATGTATACAAATCAGAAAATCTTATAAAACAGAGTTATGACAAAAACAAATTTAGGTTTTGGGCCACCAGAGGACATATTTAGGTGGCAAATGATTATTGATAGTCTGAGTGTCTTAATTGAAAATTGCCTAAAAATACATGATCAGAAAATGTGATTTTGACCATCAAAGTGCTTAAAAACTATTATAAAGTTTGCATTTTATCAGTAGAGGATTAGTTGACTTCTATAGACAGAGTTTGAGATATGCTTATGCTTTAAAATCATGAAAATAAAATATTAATGACATAAATGTAAGTTAAATCATAGCATCTTCACAGTTTAAAACATAGTAATATAACAAAATACAATTTTCAAAAGTCATAAAAGTAACCATTATGCCTAGAGATATTGCACTGACTGGATAGTTTTTTCTACCCAATAGGACAAAACATTCCTTGCAGTTTTAGCTGTGGTGGCGTTATAAGATTGGCAGTCAGTCCCTTACAGTGGGTACTGACTGTCTCTCGTCTCTCTGGGACAGCGGCAGATCGCCTTAGTATGTTTGCCATAAATACAAATGCATTCAATTTAACATTGAATGACATATATCAAGGTTTACTAGAAAATGGTCTATCTAACATAAAATTTGAATGTTATAAATACTAATATAAAAAAAAAAAACGATTCAAATTATAATGGCATTTCACTGTATAATCAAAGATCCTGGTTCTTTCACAAGTTTTATGTATTTTGACAAACTCTTGATTTTGTGAACATGGTTTCCTCATTATTTCTAAAAACTTTTATCAGCAGTATATTTTGTATAAGCATAATTCTTACAATAAATGTTTCCAATCGAAACCCATATTTGCTGTGTGAGTAAGAGGTAAAACTGGAGGACAAACCAATGCCCACTTGCCGTTCTCATCTTCCTCTGCTGTAGCTACAGCACAGTAAGGAATTCCATGTACTCGGTGAACAATGTCGTTGGAAGAACGTGGAGGATGCCCTGTTAGCTGGCGAGTGCACGTATCTAACGTGGCAGCGTGGCCCACGAGTAAAAGGGTTTGTCCTAAAAAACAACAACAATAAAAACAGCATATATAACGTTAAACAGAAAAACACATACCAAATGAATACGTTTATTATAACATTTATTTGAAAGGTAATTAAAGCTTCAATTCACAGATCATTTAATACTTAATGACGTGCAGCATACTCTACGATATATTTTTAACTTGAAGTGTATTTATGTATACTGCATTGGAAATAATTATGGAATGGGCGAGCAAAAAGCATGTGAACAAACGTACAGGAATGACACCTTTTTATCGTGGGAAAATGAATTGCATCAGAATACAGCCTCGTGTTGACAGTTTACATCGCAATTAGTTGTCATTAAATTTGTATGAACACTCTCACACAAACAATAGTATAAACCTCTTAAGGTACAAACTTTTGTGCTATGTCCAGCTGTAGTAGTGTGAATGTCCCATAATTCAAGTACCGCATGACAAACATAATGAAATCAAAGATTTGCCTGGGAAAAGCTGGATATCTGTGTTATTTACAGATGACTCCGTGTTTTACTTGTTCGGCAACAATCAACGACAATCTTTTCTACAGTGTAGAAAGAAGAGCAGTATCATAGTCAATCTGCACAAAATGTATGGCACCTTAACTGTTGACAAGTACATGAATATTCTATCATGTCATCCCTTCAGAAACGTGTTGTCGGGTGATCCAAACTTGGAGAGTCGAAGCGTGGTTATGTAATATATATATGGTTTGTACACTATTACAATATGTATTGTATGTACTATCTGTTCAACTAAACCTGTTTTTAAAATACTGAATGAAAATTTTAGCAGGTACCATTGCTATCAATAAAAAGGAAAAACGTATATATAGGAACTTAAACCCAATTATATCGTTAGGCGGTTTTTGTTATTCTTCAGCTACAATTTATTTTGATGTGATTCTTTGTTCGTTTGTATTTTAAGCATAATGCAACACAATGGGTTATCTGTCCTCTACCGACCACGGGTATCGAAACCAGGTTTCTAGCGTTGTAAGTCTACAGACATATCGCTGTGTCACTGATGATGTAAACGTAGTTGTTCAAATGATTAAAACTACCTCGATATTTCATTAATCAACTATTAGAACTTCTGTATTCCTTATTTAGTCATGTACCAATATTATCTAAACATCTGTATTTGTAAGTTCAGTAGTCCTCCCACTCTAAATAAACGTTCAAACCTTGGGTGTGTTTTAAAAAGGGTTCTGCAAAATACATTTATGCATGTTTGTGTTATTTCTCTAGTTGACTATTGTGAACCTTATACGTATGTACGTAAATTATCATGTTGTTACAATTTGTTTCAGTACTAATAGTACCAAACTGAAAACAGAACTGTATCTGCACATGTTTATTTTGTTCGCAAGTATTTAGTTTCACAAAAACGAATGTTGCGAGTTGGATTTAAATACAGTTGGTTTTCACAGATTATTGTTACAACTTTAAATCGTGAACAAAGAAAGTCAAGTGCTACTAATTTTTTAATGTGTTTAGCTGCTAAAAATAAAGTCAATAAGTATCATGCAAATTAAGAAATAAACACATTTACTTTACAAAATAGCTATT